TAAACTGCTTCATTCACTAACTGAAAATGGTTTAAAAAAAACTGAAACATTTCTTGTTTTAAAAATTAAAATAATTAGTTCATATGTGCTATCAAGACCATATTTCCATATTTATTTTTATACTATTTTTGCTTCTGTTTGATTGCATTCTACCAAAATGGTTAAATAGTCCCGTGACGTACCCTTTCCTTTCAAAAATAACCCCCTAATAGTGGGAACTTCCTTATTTATCTACCCTGCGAGCAGAGGAAGTTTTTGCACTCAATATTTATCGTACGTTGCAACCAAATCCAGGTGCCGGACTGAATACGTCATCGTCCCCTTCGTCGTTTTCGTCTTGTGCGTCCTTTTCATAAAGAAAATATCGATTACGTATCTCTCGTGAGAACGTTGTACGGATTTTAATCTTAGTTTCGATATTTTAAGCTAACTTTTTAATAGTGTGCTTTCATACAAAATGTTTACCTTTAACGATCTTGCAATTGCTAATTCCATATGTTGTGTTGTTTTTAAAATTGAATTGCTAATTCCAATGCTTCTTCCTCTTCTCGTATTTGCAATTCTGCAAAGGGGTGTACAAGCTGATCGTTGGAAGATCCAGCTACCGCTGAGGCATAGCTTTTTTTTAAACGAATCCATTTCTTTAGTGTTGGAGGTACAGCCGAGAAGTGACCATGTGGAGTGTGCACATAGCCCCTTCTCCAACCCCCAGCTTTGTACCAGTCAGATAAATAGGCATGGGTATGAATTAAATAGACCACACACAACACAAGGCACAACCTGAATCGGGGTTTTCAATGTTTCGCAAACACTTACTCATTACTGATCTTTCAATACTGACAATGACAATACATCTCTGGAGTAGCAGTGAAGAGCTAAAGCTCGAAACGTCAAGTTAACGTTAAGTTAAGTTATTACTCATTTTTTACGGTTTTAGAAGAGCCTCACTGGAGAATATTTAAGGAATGCAATACCCGGAAACGTGAACTGCAACTGAGGCCACAACTGATAACAAAGACCGGCTAGTGTTTATATTAGTCCGTTGCAACTAAGTACTACTTTTACGATTTATTCTTTTACGTAGGTCAGAGGCAAAAAAACAAACAAACAAAAGGCCCAAGGCCATTTATGCCCTAGAGCGTTTTCAAGCCCAACTAGAAAAAGTATCTTGTTAACTTGTGTTCTCTGACAGATAACAATTATTCGATTACATGTTGACATATTGATGATGTACATTAAGAAGAAAAAAACATTAGGAATTAGAAATACACCGTAAACATCTACATGAAAAATTTTTTTGCCTGAAATCGATACGAAATGTATTCCTTATGTATACTGTTCATTCTATATGTATGTTCATTTCGCTATTTCGCTATTTGGTTTTTTCGCTATTTCGCTTTATCGTGGTTTAGGAACACCCCCTTTCAAATGCACCCCCTTTCACTTGCTGTCAAGATTTATACTTTGCTCGAGTGCCATATCATTGCACACTTGACCAAATGGTTGACAAGATCTAGCAATGGCATGGTCACCATTTTTGAATTCCTTATACATTTCAGGAGCGCTTGTAGGTAGCATCTAAGATATAGACTGGGAGCCATCTTAGAAATATAAAACCAATACCAACTATGCATTAAAGCAACTTTGGTTAGACACTTGCGACACACAAAACAAAAACAGCAATATACTTTGTATAAATGATGCGGTACAAAAAAAAGGAAGGAGACATTTCAGCTACTGAGGTGAGGTGCAGCTCCCAGGAACGAATAAATATAAGTTAAAGTTATTATGAGCCAGTAACAACTTTTTGAGCTTTCCCTTCATGTAGATTGCAAGTTCAAAGGGTGATCACACTGTGACATTGTCCTAGAGTACACATCATTGCTTGCACGCATTTCATTAGAGCGTAGATAGTGCTATACTCTGTTGGTGAATTATTTATCAATGGGTAGTACCCAATAGAGGTTACAGAGGGGACCTCGGTTGACATCTTATCATCAAAAGCACTCCAGCTTGGCGAGGACTGTTGCGCTGTGCCATTGAGTTCACTGATCTGTACAGTAAACAATCTGTCAGTGCAAATTTTAGTTTAAAAAAACAACCAAGATCCATCTGAATAGCTTTTAATCTTCGTAGGCTCTCTGCACATTCAAACCATTGTTCCTCAATCTCATCTTTGTAACATGTCACGGTAGGTCGTTTACCATAGGCACCAAATTCCAATAACTCTTTCGTCGACATTTTGCTGTCTAGAGATCGTCATTTTAGGGTTTGGTCCGTAAGGCTTTCTTTGATAAAGAACTACTGTCACGGCATGAGTGGTCTGTTTACCATCGAGAGTCTCCTCATTGATATCGTTGTTGTTACCAGCTACTTGCACAAAGCCTCCAGGTACTATATTAGATAGAATACAAACACCACAATTTTCAGACTTTGTGAGTACTTCTAGAGCTAAACTAATATCTATGCGCTGAGTTTCATCATACTATAAGCGGTGTCCAAGTTGATTGAGCATCGTTATAAGCTCCTCGAACCCGTTGTATGGCGCACAGACATCGCTAATCCCATGTGCTTTGGGGTCTTGACACATCTATGAGTTGTAGCATGAATGATATCCTGCGCTATTGCTAAATTGTGTCGCTCTTCAGACTCATAGGCCACAGCTGGATTGTCCTATCTATTTTGTGTGGATTTGATACAAGAGGACACAAAAACCTATTTAGATCTAGTGGTACAAATGATTTCACATTGTCAACGTTTAAGTCCTCCAAATCAACAGGTTGGATATTAATGCTATTTATTTCCTTTTTTATTCTTGATTTTAGGATTTGTTCAGCATAAAGAGTGTTGAGCGTTCGTTAACTGTCATAGAATACTCTGACTCGAGTGAGGCAGGATCAGACGGTGACGTTTGCACCTGGGAAGATTTATTGGCAGCTGCATTGATAATAGCTTGCAAAGATATAGAACTGGAACAAAGCAATTTGGGTTTTGAAGGATCTGGCTGCTTTTGAAATGCGAGCAGTTCTTGAAAATGTTTCTGAAGCCGTGTCTGCCAACTAAGAATTTTTAAAAAACTACTTGCCGAATTTCGCTAATCATCGTTGCGTTATTAGCTGTTTTATCAAGCTTTAGAAGGTGGCAGTAAATTTCCCTTGGTTTGTAAGTTTTGTCGTTCTAAAAGTAATGTTTGTTAGTCAGTTGTTGGTCATAACCTTATGCTATATTTTGTTGCCACTGTCACTTCTGGCCTTTCGTTTTAAAATATTTGCCAGTTGTGTTTGGTCATGAACTATTTGGCTCAGCGTTATTCATTGCTTTTTGTCAACGCTTGCCTTTTGGCCAGTTTTGTTTTATTCTGCACTCCGTGGTTTAATTTTGTTAAATATTTTTGTTCGTCATGAGATGTTTGGCTTAGCTCTTTATTCATGACTTTTCACGTGCACTTTGTTATGCTGGCTTCGTTAAAAAATCTATTGAGAGCCAGTTTTTGTTTGTCATGAGATGTTTGGCTTAGTTTTATTAATGACTTTTGTGTTTTATGCATGGTCTTTTGCTATGCGTTTGGTGTTATTTCACGTGCACTTTGTTATGCTGGCTTCATTAAAAAATCTATTCAGAGCCAGTTTTTGTTTGTCATGAGATGTTTGGCTTAGTTTTATTCATGACTTTTGTGTTTTACGCATGGTCTTTTGCTATGAGTTTGTTGTTCTCCACGTGCAATTTGTTATGCTGGCTTCCTTAAAAATATTTTCAGGGTCAGTTTGTTATGATATGTTGGGTTTTTTGTTATTCATAGCTTTTGTGTTTTACGCCTGCAGTTTTGCTATACTATCACGTTTTTATGATGGCTTCGTTAAATCTTTTCAGGTTCAGTTTTTGGTTTGTCGTGATATAATTGATTTTATTTATCAGGTAGATACCTACATTCAAGCAATAGCTTCAGCTGAATTATGGCACAATTAAATCACACCCGACTGGGTTATGGTTATGCGCCATAAAAATTTGTTAAGTTGCCCGTTCCCCACGGCTCCGAGGTTTGACAGTCTTATAATGGGAGCCTTATTCCCTATCGGTCTTTGTACGGGCGCATACGTTTGTCAACCATTGGGTCTCTCCCTCATTGCGTTTCCCTTAAGTATCGCTCGTTGTGTTTCATTTTTAGCATCCTCCCGCTAATCGTGCAAGGCATTCATCTCCCCGGCAAGAATCCGATGGGTTCATCCCCTGGGTGCAGTCGAACAGGAAGCCATTTCGGGCTCAAGGGTTGGCTGAAAAGGATTATCACATTTCTGATGTTTTCGTGGAATCGGTCAGTTTAAGGTAGCTCCATATAGTTAAAAGGCTTTTGAGGTACATGTTACATATTGCTGTATTTAAAAGAAAACAGAGTATGTTTTGACCCTTTTTTGTGTATTGTACTAATATTAGTAAATCAAGGTTTCAGTTTTTACAAAAAAATATCACATGACGGGTCGCCATAGCAACGTAACATTAGTCTTAATTGAGGCTTTTTTTGTAATAAAAAAAATTAAAGCTTGAGTTTTTTGCGGTGAATTTTTTTCTAAATATGTTAAGTGAAATCATACTACTTAYTTCATCATTTGACACCGCGACTTAAGTATCCCAACGACAAAACCTTAGATTTAACGCAATTTCTGTCTTTTCACAATTAAAAACATTCTGTCGTTAGAACTTGCTAAATATTTTGCAACAAACACTGTAAAAATTTGAAGACATTTTACCGCCAAATTTCCGAGATTTTTAATTTCAAAAATCGCGCACAAAAATAAGTCAATTATGTCATCAAAATAAAATTTCTACAAGATCCGTATTTGCGCATGTGCGAAACTGAGCGAGCGAGGTAAACAGACACAGAATTGTGAATTTCATTCTCGTACAAATTTATCAATAAATTGTTATGGAATTGAATACATACGACGTTAGATTTGATCCCACTTTGGTTTATGTTTCTTTTCCGGACTCTGCCTTGAAGTAGCCTACAATTCTGGACAAGATACGAGAAGTTTTGGTGACTCGAGGAGCTTTGCTTGTTGAAGCCGATGGCGGAAGAGATAGAACTCCAACCAGGGAATTTCCATCAAACCTTGTGAACACATTTTCAAGTCCTGGTAAGACAGCCCAGCCATAGCTATTTTCTCACACATGCTCTTGGTTACAGGATAGTCCTTTTCTTTTTCATGGTAGAGTTTGCCTTTGAATGTTTGAAGAAGTTCGTGGCGGTGATCGAGGTACTTGGTATCGTTTTTCACGTGTTCGACTGACAGCACGTTTCCGACCAATATTTCATTAGAAAAGTTCACAGAAGAGTCAAAGACTATCTTTCTCAAGGCCTTAACGTCTTCGAGTGCATCGTGAGCATCATATGTTTCTTGAAAAGGTGTTTGATAAATAGAAGCTTGATTGCATTTTGACATGGAGCCATCTCCTAGTCGAAGTGCTGTATGTTTTGATTGTATGAGTTTCTTCAGAATTGGAAGAGTGTCATTAAAGAAGACATTGAGAGAGGATAGCTTATCAGAGAACTGTTATTTGCCTTGTCGAAGAAGAGTTGGGGCGTCAAAAAGTGAGTTGTGACCAATCATTATTGTGTAAACGTTGTCTGTAATGTCATTCATTCCAAGTGTTTTAATATTTCTGACTGCCTGTTGGAGAAAATCTACGAAATCTGCCGGTGCCTTTTCTAAAGATACAGATACAACAGGCTCGTTTTCCTTGAACAAAATTCGCTGACCATTTAATACTCGGACGCTTAGACCATTTACTCTTGTAGCATAAATGTCAATATCATTTGATGGTAAAATGTAAGTGTTAAAACTATTTGATCCCAACTGATCAATGGCTGACAGTTGACAAATTTCTGCTCTTTTTCCTGTTGTGTTTGTTTCTATGTCGTATATTATGAAGTTGCATATGTTGTTTTTGTTATAAGAGAATTTTGTAGAAATGGGTCTTTGTGTGTACTTAGGAATATGGGTCTCAATTTCCTTTAATTGTTCTTTGGAGATGTGTTTTCCAGGTTCTATGTTAAGGCTTTGAAGAGTATGGCTTATGTACTGGTATCCTAAGTTTGCTTGTGAAATACCACAGGCAATTCTAAAATCACTGCTTTCACTCCCTCCATAATATCTTATTTTAGGGTTTTTTGATCCAATGACACTATTTAGGGATTCATTCCTTTGTGAGTTGGCTGCTGGTGATAATTTTTGAATGACAAGATCTGTGCAGTATTCATCAAATATCCGTGCTAATGCTGTTTTTATTTCTTCACCATAAAGATCTTTACCGTATGGCAGATCAGAATGCTTATAATTATCATCATTTTGTGCTCTACACCACAACTCACTGCAGAGATGGTGTTTGCCAAAGGCGTGTGGCACTTTACTTAACAAGGAATTTTTTAGTTTGTCAGGATTTCCTTTATTTTGGGATACTGAATAGCTGAAGCATTTGACCAAGTAGTTTATTACTTTTTGAGAGAGTATGGATGAGTTTGTAAATTTACCTCGTTGACTCAAGTTCATTAATTTGGTTGTGAGTGACCGTTTTGCATGTACCGTGTCAGTCCATTTCTCAACAGGGTAAGGACCGTTTTCTTTTATATGGGCAGCTGTAGTAGAGTCTTTATCTCCGGTATATACAGAGAACTTAACTTTAGATTTTAAGGCTTTAGTAAACAGGTGAACAGCTGCTGCTGGTTCCATTGCTTTCGAGGAGCCAAAATGATTTTTTCGACAGTCATGTTTTTTAGCTTTACTTCCATTCTTTTTTGCATATGTACAATGTCTACATGTTTTTGTTCTAGTTGTAAAATCAAGAATCTTGCCACTTGACAAGCTCATTACAGCCCCCTGACCTGTTGACGAATTGTGACCCTTTCCTCTTTTTTGCCAACCCATATCGTATGAAACTTTTGTATTTATACAGCCCTCCGAATCCTCTTTGAAAAGAATTTTAGAATGAGTTTATCATAGACTAAAGTACAAATAAGATAGCCATTCAAAACATATTTTATCCTGGTTTCTTGGTACACATTTACTATATCTAGTAATATATAATCATCTCATTGTGTTGATGTTTATCATATTCTCTTATTCATAACAACATTATTTTCTTTATATTTCATCCATAGTTTTTTTTTTGCATTTGTCCTGTTTTGAGTAAAATATTTTTAATCTTGTCTTTATACTTTTATTATTTGAACTTTTTCTTCTTTTTCTTGTCAAAACAACAACACTGGTTTGTGTGGTTAGCTAATCATGCAGTTTTGATAAACTGACCTTTTTTTTAAGTCAATTCATTTACAAAAACATGAAATTAATTTGATCTGCCTTACCTGAGTTACAATGATGGCATTTTTGTAAATCATTAATAAGGACTTCCATGTCTATGACCCTTGATCCATGTAGTTGTTTCTATTGAATTAAGTAATTAATTAATTTTCTGCCCGCCTCGATAGCTGCATCCCCAAATCTCAATGTTTTTAAGAGTGGGGTTTGCACTCTCAAACACTAACCTGTCTGACATATCCAAGCATTATTATAAGCCTCGAAGAGAGGGTTTGCTTATATTATATTAAAATAATGTAAATGTCTTGGTAATACTTTAGAATATTTCTCTTTTTTTTCTTATTTAGCTACAACGCGATATAGACCAAATACACTCCAGCAATCCATCCAGAGTCCATTCCAGTAATTCCATTGTTTGTTTACGCCGTCGACACAAAAATCAGTAAATATCCCCCTAAATATCTCTATGATAGTCATCTGAAATACGGAAATAAATTTTGAAAAACTTCATCTTACCAGACTAGAACGAGTTTCTCTCTTCGGCAAGGAGCATTGGTCTGTGTTTAAATCATTTTCCGAGTCGGAGAAAGTTAACTTTCTCCTAGTCCACTCTCGTAGTCCTCGCATTTTTCCGTTGTTTTCAGGGTTGTTTTTCTTCCTTTTTGAAGAGGAAAATCGACCACGTTGGTCACGGCCCACCAGCAGCTTATCTTCTGGCGTTTCTTCAGAGGAATGACCATTTGTGCCAGCCAATACAAACCCACCTACCATCCATGATATTGCTGAATTTCTCGCGAAATTGCCACTCGTAGGCTCATCGATAATGCACGAAATATTAAAATTGAACTTGTTTTGAGCTTCACTTGAGTCGTTAAAAGATGTAATTGTTTGGACATTTTTTTTGGATTATTTCCAGTGTTCTTTTATTCCAGCATGTTTTGAAAAGTAATTTTACGACATTTTTTGAAACTGCTTGGCGCACTGCCATCTTTATTTTGTTTTTCGTGGCTTTAAAAGCTCGCGCCATCATAAAACTCGTTCCCATTTCCCTCGCGGTAAAAATTAACTATATGGAGCTACCTTAAGGGACGGAGTTTTGAGGTTATGAATTTTAAGTCTTGGGCTTTTGTCTATGGGTGTAATATCCTTTCCTCAAGCTCAGAGGCATAATGCCCATACCTTAGACCATACGAGTGGAAGGAAGACCACTAAGTATAGATTACTATTCACGGCGCCACAAAAAACGAAATCGACGGAGAAATGTTTTCTGCGCGACATTATAATTAGTTTGGGTATTGTGCTTATTGCTCCTGAAATTTCAAGTGAGTGGAATTTTTAGAAGCCCTTCAAATACGAAAAATAACATTGCACGCAATACATACTGTATCGCCTTGCATAGATTTTCGGGGTTTCCTTTGTTTGTATTGTTATGCAGCGCTTTTGTTTTTAAAACTTCACATGTTGAACATTCCATTACACTTGTATATCATTAAACACATGAATTACTACCGAACAATCTCCGAGCAATGTAAATTCAAGTGATTAAAAAGTACGAAAACAAAGATGGCTCAAACCAAAATAACGCATGGAATAGACCCTTTCAGCTTCATGGTCACGTGGTCTGAAATGGGTAAACAAAATGAAATCCAATATGGCGGACACTGGTGTGGTTTGGCGAAAATCACTTTCATTTTTACCTGAAATTTCGTATCCAAATGTACTTGAGCACTTAAAAGGCTGTGGTAAAAAGAACATTGGTGAAAAAGGATACAAATTCTTTGCCGAAGCTTAT